AACAGAAACTCACTTTGCAAGTCAGTACACATGGTATTGTTGTCCATGCTGCTGGTGCTAGTGGCAGTCCACTGGCTTCAGTCAGTGTCTCAGCAGAGGGAAGGAGGCAGAGACAAGAGTTGCCTGGCTCAACTCTTGAGGACAAGATATTGCAATGTGAATAATCTTAATGAAGTATTTATTTAATAATAGGAGCTTGCACATGAGCTTGTTCAAAGCAAATGAGGTAAAAACTAAATACCTTCATGAGATTCAATGTCTGACTTGGACCTTAAAGTTCTCTTCAGGGACACCTTGTGCCTCAGGAGATAACTGCCAGCATGGGCCATGCTTCTGAGGACACCAGCGCTGCTGCACAGCAGGAGCACAGTTTAGCCATTGCCTAACCAGTATGTTTAACAGGTATTTAGAAGAAGAGTGATGAAATGTGACATTATTGAATTACACTCCCCATCTGTGCTGCTTGTTCCACTGCAGTTACTTCCCAGGACTGCTTCTTCCCCATCCCAGGTACCTCTTCTGTGCCCCTTCTCTCTGCCTGCCCAGCCCCTCTCATGCTCATCCTCTTCCACACGCTGCTGTTGGACCCAGTCTCTCTCTTTGAGCTTCACAAACCCAACTGCTGCCTCTGGTTCCCTTAGGTACTCCTCTCCCCTGCCAGCTTTCCCTGCTGGGTTCCTGCCTGTACTGCTCCTTCACCCTGCTTGCTTTACACATCCCTGTTCTCTCCTGCCTCTGGATCTACCCTCAGACATTTCCAGCCATTGCCTGAAAGTCTGGGAAGTCAAAATTTTTCAAAGAGAAGCTAATTATAATTTTTTGAAGATGGATTAATACAGGTTTTCTACCTCCATTTCTTAGAGTTACCTGAAATTATTTTGGTGGGGGGTTAGTGAACTGTTCTCACTAATTGTGATCTTCACAAAAAACCAGTCAGCTGAAGGCCCTCACCTAGAAAATACTTGTCCAGCCCTAGTTAATTTTGCAGCATTGTTTTACAATGGCACCATTTCAAGTGGCTGACACCAGCCTGTGGGCAGGCTCACAGCCCAGCAGCAGTGGTTTACTGTGGTGAACATTTGTCACTGTAATTCCTCTACAAATTATCTGGAGCCAGGATTTTCTAAAGTGTTTAACAGAACAGGATACATTCAGCCATCACTGGATTCTGAATTAAAATGGGATTTAAACGTCACTGCTTGAAAATCCAGGATTGCAGATGGATCCTTCCTTAGAACAGTCTTTCTATTCAACCAGCACATAAATCTATGTGGTTGTACATTGAGGTGACAATTATTTATATTCTATTCATACTTGAATTCTTCGTAATCTTTCACTGTGCTTTCTGGTGCTTCATACCAAACAAGCATTTAATGCAAAAGAAAATGCTCTAGCCCTTCATATAAATCTAAAACTTTTAATTTACATTTATAGTGAGACCCAGGTATCATGGTTGTCACACTGACACAAGATTGCCTCTAGAGAAAGAAAGACAGGTTAACCAGAGACTAACTTTTATTGTGCATTTTTATGCAACAGAACAAATGGAACTGGAGGTATGTAGTAATAAAACCAATATTCAAATTAGAATTAACACCTGAAATAGTAAACTGTAGGTAACAAATGTCTTTATAATCAAAAAATATTGACTGTTTAAAAAATTCTCTAAGATTTTATATTCTTTAAAAGAAATGTGTGTTGCCACATAGAAAACAATTCACACATCCTATAGAAATTGTCACAAAAACCTTACTAATCTATATTACACTATGCACTTTTCTTTTGTACAATATCTGATAAAGGTCTATCCCTAACCTGTACTTACTCTACACAGTACAATCATCAATTTCAGCATAAGAAAGTATTCATAGAATTAACTACACCATAACAATAAAAATATCAGGATTAATGTTTTTTTCTTAATCACAGTTTCTCCACAAATATTTGTCATAGAAAATATAGCGAAGGCATGTTGGCACAGATGGGCGTGCGGTGCTGCTACACAAAGTTTGAGAGAAGGCAGATACATAAATGACAGTAAGATTAAAGCGTATGGAAGGATAAGACAAGAATCTCTATCCTCCTGGGACTTTCTGGAGTGACATGATAGATAGCAGTTTCCTTCTGTCACTGGGAAGGGATGTGCTGGCTTATAAAGCACACTGCCTAAATATGGATATCTCCCTCTGCAAGGGTTTATGTGCTATCTATTATTTCAGGTCCCATATCTAACATATTGCAGATATTTAGATGCTTCAATGTGTATGAATTTATAACACCTATTGAACAAATTAACTGGAATAAGTTCTTGTGCCAGGTTTGGGATTTTTAAAATTAAACATGTGGGTCAGGTGGCCATGATGGCAATCAAAATCAGACAACTAACAAAAGTTTTTATACTCTGTTATTTTAAAACCGAACATGAACACAAATATGAGCTGGTGTCTGTTAATGCCTGTCTGTGACCATGATTCATGTCACTGGCCAGTGTGCATAAGCAATTGAGGACAAAATTTTGTTTGTAAATAAAGGTCCAAACCTGCAACGCCATTTCAAGTGGCAAAGTGGCTTTCAGGATGAAATTATACTTTTGGTTATCTTGCACAATGAGAGTAGAGGATTATGAGTGGTTCCAGGATGCTGGCTATGCTTTTTACACTAAAAATAAAGCTAGGCTTACCAGTTATTTCAGCAAATCTTTCAGTTATTAAGTGAGAGGTCTGTCCAGTTCAGTAATTCTGTTCTGTGACTGTTAAAAAGTGTTTGTATCTTAAACATCATACAGTTAAGCATCTGAAAGGAAATAGTCACAATGTTTACAAAAATACAGCATGATACATATTGCTGTGGACAAATTTACAGTATAATGTTGACTCACATGTTCTGACATGTTTTACCAAATAGTTCTGGCATGTGTCACCACATTAAACATAGACCAGCAAGACTTACACCATCTGAGCAATGTAACATCTTCTATTATAGTTCTTTTTAAAAAAGTGTAAGTTCAACACCGAAAAGCTACTATAGGATATCTGTACTGTGACATTTCTATACACTGAGTTTCTCCTCCAGAGGCCACCGCGTGGTGTGACCACTCCAAGAAAGTCAACTCCTGCCTGTAATGAAGGAATGCTGTCCTAAGCCCCTTGGTCTAGTGAGGTCCTGTGTGACTAAACTGCTAGCTGACTTTTAGAAAATAAATTAATTATTTTGGGGCCAATGAGTACCTTTCAACCCCCTTTGAAAAAAACGCACCAAAATGAAAGTGAACTGGGAGGTATTGGACATCTGAGGGCCTAAAGCATATGGGGACTGAGCAAGGTCCTCTCTATGGCAGTGCAGGGTGAGCCCGTGTCCCGAGGTGCCCCATGGGCCAGGAGAGAGCAGTCACAACCACAGGCAAGGGGAGGCAGAGGGGGCAGGAAGGAGCTGAACTCGGAGAGACTGCGGCCAGGCTGGGCCTCGAGGAGTGCTGCAGCCCAGAGAGCCCTTCCTGGTGTCTGAGGAAGGGCCCAGGTGCCTCCTGCCTTGCCCCGGTGCGGGGAAGAAGGTGGGGAAGGAGAGGAGGGGGTAAAAGGAGCCATTAGTAGCTACGCTTGTGGCTTGCACAAGGCGGTGAGGAAGGCTGGGGAGTATGAGAGACGCGTTCAGGAGAGTCAACGCTGATGAGGTAGCACTAAGGATGGTCAAAAGTGATGTGAGCTTTCTTTCCGAAACACAATTCCCTGTACCTGCCAGTGGGGAAATGTTGCCTCAGGAAGTGCTGGTTCAGGCTGCGGAGGATGCCAACACTGGCCTGAGTGAGCACACAAAGGTAAGGAGATGGAAACACCCTGATGTGGAAAGGAAAGGGCATCGTTTCTTTGGCATTGCATATTTCTGGCGTGGATCAATTTAGAGGGACAATGGACTCCTAAATGTTTAAAATTAAACTTATTTTGTGGATTGAATTTTGTTTTTAAAGCTAGTATCTGCTTCCAATATTGTGCAGCACTGTGAATTCTGCTCCAACAGCTCCTTTCTTACAGCTCTCATTCTGGATCCCATGCCTACTTTTACAAAACACTAAACCAGGTTCTTCTTGCCCAACCCTTCCCTGAATGTAACACTGAGAGAAACCAGCACATTGCCTCACCTCATTCAAGGAACAGATATAAAACACAAATTAAAGTGAAAAACAAGAAAAGGCAATTTAAAGCCTCTGAAGCTACGTAATATGGTTGCAGAACAGGAACAGACAAAGGAAAATCTGTCTTCTGAAATGGCAATTTGTTTTTAGCAATCTTGTTTTAATGAAAACTGTCATGATCAACTCTAATCCTCTAGAAATCTAGATAAATATACTGTCTATCTGATATACAATGCAATTTTTATCTGTTAGAAGTGCCTGTTATTGTTCTGGGTCTTTGAAGGATTCTGCTGTTGATGAGTGCTGCTGTTTTACTTGGGAAGCTTAATTTCCTGACAGAGTTGGCTAAGAAAGTCCCTGGATTTTCTACCTTGTGTGGTATTTTAAGGTAGCATTTATAGTTGTGTTCTTTTCTGTTAGCAAATGGGAAACCACTTCTTTTTTTCTTGTAAGTGTGCAAACTTGTACTTAAATCTTCTAGTCAGGGAAAGCAAATAGCACCTAGCTGTTCTGAGTCTAGGCCTAGGATTGTTATCAGTAGGCTGAAGAGATAGTAGCTGCTGTTTCTCTTGGCATTTTTATAGTTTTTAAATGACCTTTCCTCTACAACTGGATGAAATGAACTGCACGTTCCCTTTAAGTGTGCTATGAAGGGTTTGGAAATAATAGGCACTGAGAAGTCCCATAATGCAGGTCTTGAAATGGATTTCTTTCTGTTAACTGGGATATGGTAGGATGGAGAAGCTGAAATGTATGTGGAGTGTGTTCAAACATGCTTTGGACTCCTAAATGACTGCAGGGCTAAGTATGTTTAACAGTCTCTCCTAAATTAAGTGGTTGCTACTGTTGTGTGATGTGGTTCTCACTGCCATCAATCTCCAGATCCATCTTGCATACCTCTATTGAAGACCTCGTCCTGCGATCCCGGGTGGTCAGTCCCTTCGTAATAGGAGTTGCCATTGTGAAGGAAAGTCCCCACGGCGCGGCCCTGGCGCGCGTGTCCCACCGCGTCACTGAACACCTTGTTTATCTGCTCCTCAGATGGCATCCACCAGTCTGGGTTGGAGGTACAGTGCATCCTAATGAACTCTGCAGGAAAACAGGCAAGGGTAAAAAGCAACTTGTCTTTGCAGCATCTGGTATCAAAAGCTCATGGGAAATAAGAAAGGAGGTATTGCTGCTCTACTTAAGCAGAAGTAAAGCCTTATGGGGGATGCCATGATAATGCCACTTGGACCTACTTCATTTCTGCACAAGTGTGTTTCTCCACATGCAGTGTATGTTGTTATACCTGAGCTAACTAGGTGACTCATGGGACCTGGATATAAAATCCCTTCTTGTGGAAATACAAAGAACTAATTTGAAGTGAAGGCTGTGATTCTGTGTGTGTAATATGTGTGGAAGCTAACATGAGCCAGGACATATTTCTTTAGAAACTTGTTGGTCTCTACATCTCAAGGTGATCGCTGTTGGATCTTTCTGACCTCCCTCTGCTGGCTCCTTCAGTACCTGCAACCTGCAGGACCCTCCAGCCTGCTGGAAAATGTCATTGCCATTATTTCAGTTTGGTGCTCCTGTCTGTTTGGGATATCTTTCTTTTAAGTTCTTCTATTTCATCTCCCTGTATTTTACACCTATTTTTTTCAGAGACTAATCTGGCCTTAGAAATAGCTAAAAGAGATCAGAGGTCTGATTTGGGGAGCCTTACAATAGTTTTCTCTTTACAGATGCAGGAGAAAATTAATTGTACTGCATGTATTTTACCTATTTAAATAGCTGCTGCTGCCACATACAGCTATTTGTATGTGATGATTACATTTTTTATAATTTATTTTTCAGATTCTTTGACGTGCTATATGCTAGAGTTGCAGAAGGTGCCTGCCAATTCCAGAGTTGTAACTGCTAGACATAGCTCAAATAGGTGTATTTGGACTTTGAAACATCCAAATATGATTTTAAATGTGAGGGCATCTTATTAGAGATATTGGATACACTGTACCTCATATAGAAACTGAGCTGCTTATTTATTCTATAACATTAGTTATTCCCTCATGCAGCATTGTGTGTCCCAGGATATTTTTAAATTCTATTTTCTACAGTTGACAAGCCAACAGCACAATAAGTGGTGTAAGGTAACTTCATTACTGTCACCACATCTCCAGACAGGGAATACTGTGCTTTTACATGAGTTCCCGTGCCTGCAAGGTATCTCATCTGTTGGACAATTAGGATGTGATTTTTGCATAGCTCCTCCAGCAGTGTGTCTGCAAAAGTGATAGCAATCTCTGTTTTAAATTCATTTCCCTGGAAATCCACACAGGCAACAGTAATTCCTACCTAGTTATGTTCACACGTGCCCCCACAGACTCGTCTTTTTCTCAGAGAAATGGTTACCACGTAAAGAAGTAATGCTAGAATTTAAGCATGCCAGGATGTTTTAAAACTGGTTCCAGACACCAGCCAGTTATAGGAATATATTAAAAATGTTTATATATATTTAAACTCTGAGTGCAGACAGAGAACCAATTTGCACTCCTTGCTATGTTGGAAAGGCATAATTAGCTGTGTTGAGAATTAGTCAGACACTTGTTACCTGGGCTTGTAAATGAGTAGGAGCTAGTGGCCAACTCTCAGCACTGGAGAAAGTTGTCATGTTCCCACCTACACACAAAAGGCCAAAGGGAGAGCTGTCTACTCTGCTTTCTTAGCTGGTCATTACATACTGCATGTTTTGGCTTCCTATCCAAGCTTCTGATAATTAAAGAAACTACCCTCTTTCTCCCTAGGAGTGCTCCCCACGTTCTACATGTCCAGGACCTCAGAAAAGAGACTGGCCACAAGCAAAATTCCAAGTAAAAGTGAATTTACTATTAGTCTTGGGAGGCAGGTGAGAGAAAGGGGATGAAAAGGGTATCAACACTGCCCTTGTGCATAAATTATTGGGTGATACTTAAAGTAACTTTGTAAATGCTGAAGTAGTTGTATCCAGCCTTCATTTTCCAGACCTTCTGGACCCCTGAATCTCTCTCTAGACCTCTGCAGCATGGTGTGTGATGGACTTGCCCTTCAGTTTAGTTCTGGTAGAACTCTGATAGAGTCTCATACAGAAGCTTAAAAGATTATTTCGTAGTACAAAAGGAGCTTGTTTGCCTAATTTGTCTGTATGTAAAATCTGAGTTCATTACCTGGTTACATCAATGTACCCTAACCACAAGTCTTACCTACTTAGCCTTTTTGGATTCTTTTACCCTAAATGGGAAGAGGCACATATATCTGAAGTGTATAGCCACTTTGGACTCCAGTTGAATGAGTAAAGATATTTTTATCACTGACCACAATATAGACTTTTACATTGCATTGATTAGTAAAATGTTCTTGAGGTTACTTCAACCAAAATTTTATGTATGTGCTTAAAAAATACTATAAACTTAATTGAGTTAATTAGAGAAATTATAAGCATATGCACTTATACAGTACAGATGTCGATACTAAAAACATTTTTACTTTGGGTTTAGAAAGTCCTGTTTTGTATGTTTTATCACAAAGCTTGGTACCAGCCTTTTCAAACAATTTTAGGAAACCAAAGTACACAACATTATTTTCAGTCTGTACCCTTTCTGTGCAATATCCTCACTCTCCGACACTGTGAAATGCTTGCAAAATTCCACTCCCTTTCTAGGCTAACAAGGGGGAAAGTTGTTCCCTAACATTTTCAAGCAATGTTGCATCAGTATGTCAAAAGTACGCTGAAGTCTTGACAGCATGCTTGTGTACACTTTGTAGGTAATTAACCTGCAGATGCTCTTAACCCTAGAAGATGTTTTCAAACCTACTCTGAAACTCAGTTTCTGACCCCAATGATGCACTGTGTTCTTGTTCTTATTAGACATCAGACTGTAACTATTCCTTTAGTTAGTTCTGTTGTGTATTGGTGTTAACAAAGGACCTGAGTTCATTATAAAAGAGTGTAATCAGCATTGTCTGGTTTTGCTTCACTGCTTTTTAAAGTGTATTAGTGTCATGTGCCCTTGCATTTGTCTCTCTTAAGTAAGACGCCTTGTTTTTTCCCATCAAAAACACCCAAACCACATATATTATACATACATACATACATACATACTTGTATGTATGTATGAAAAGAAAGTGGAGGGTTTCTGGTGCTTGTCACCTGCCTGTGAAACCCCTTCTAGTCCTGCAACTGTCAGCCAAATGCTTCTACTGAGCCAGAGGCAATGTGGTGAAATGAGATCACATATGGTGGACACTGAGCGAAAAGATGCAGTACCTCTGAGACATGTTACTTTAACTGGATCCAGAGGACGTCTTTCAGGACCTGTCTCTCCTGACTGCACTGACCTTTTCCTTTTTCCAAGGCCGCATGAGTACTTAAGCTCATCGGTTGTGAAAACAAATCTGATGAGATAGCGAAGGAGCCGTCGTCCATCTTTCTTGGAAGAATTTACAGCCTCATCCCACTGTTTACTAGTGATGTAGACAGGATAGTTGTTCAGCAACTGCTTACTCCCCTGAAAAAGTGAAATATTTCTGTTGCTTATTTTACAAAGCAAATAGGTGTAGATGTCAGTTGCAATAAAATATATGTTTTTAAGTATCCACAATACTGACAGTGAAACACAACCCCAAATGAACACGTAATTGCTCCTACAGAGAATGAGTACTTCTAAAATTACATTTCCATTTTCTAGAACTTAGAATGGGTGAGGTATGATGAATATGTTTTGAGAGGTGTAGTTATTGATAAGTTCCACTTTCACAAGTAGGTTAAAAAGAGTTAAGAATCAGCAACTGGGCATACTATTTAAGTGTAATGTTTCTTCTTAATGTGGTAAAATGCATAAAAAATAGTCTTTGAAGAGAGTGATCAAATGGATCACTTCATCATAGCTGTTAGTTTCCTTCAGAAGTGACTCTTTTGGTCTATTTTTATAATAAATTTATTACTTCTGTAGAACACACCTGAAACTTGACAGCAATTATGTTACTGTGAAAAATGTAAAGAAAATAAATAAAGGACCTACGAAAACTAAAAGCTTCATTATTATTAATGAATGCTGTATTAACTCAAATTATAGCTTTAAAGAAATGCCAGTGTGTCAGCTGGAAAGAAATTTTGCTTTTAACCTTCGTAATTTGTGTGCTTCAATATTCCAACATTAAATGAATGCTGCGGGACTAATTATGGGGATTCCTGTAATCCACACACATTATAAGCCCTCTTAAGTCACTTGTACCTAAATTGTACTTAATTCTTGTTGCCCATAAAATGCTATAGTTCAGGATTACCCAATTAATGTAAGATGGTACTGTTAATATACTTGAAATAATTGAAGTACACAATAAAAACCCAAACCACACCATTCTAGATACTCATTCACTTTTACAGCTACACCTCTTTATCAAAACACATAAATCTGGAAGCCCAATTAGTGAAGTCTTTGTGTAGCCCTCAGGTTTGACAGGAGCTTGCAGTGAGCTAGAGAAACACAGGTTTGGTGCTCAGTGAGGTACTCAGCCACATGCCACACTTGTGGGATGGAACTGCTGCAAAGTTCTCACTTCCAGGCCTTTGATACCTGAAAACTATTTTAAGGACTACATCCTTGCCTTCTTTCATATATTTATTACAGCATCTTGGGAGATGGTTTGAGAGCATCTTTGAAGTTTTTCCTCAGGTATTTGCTTTTATTTTATTTTTTTTTTGCAAGTTTGATAAATATATGGAAGACTGAATTTAGTGAAGAGTGTGCTGAGATTACCAATAGATAATCTGTACGATCTAGACTCACACCACCTCCCAGTGGGGTTAGTTAGCAATCACTGGGAGCTCAGTCTGTGTGCCTGCCAGCTACAAGCTGCTGACAGCTATGGACAAACCCAAAACGCTGCAAAGGAAGCCAAAATGTAAGGGAAGAGATGGGCTTTGTCTGTCTGAAGGGCCACTACCCCACAAATACCTCAACACTTCACTCACTCCCCTATAGCTGTAAATTCAAGCTTGTAACCCCTAAGAGAAAGACCCCTCACCTATAGTCTAGCCTTGTTATAATTTGGGGCTTTCTCTTTGCATTTCACTATCTCCTCATGTCACTGCAAACAGGTCAGGGTCAGTTCCTGCCCCTCCATTCATGACACAAACAGCTGCCTTAGTTTTTGCCCAGCACATGAAACCCTGGCAAGCCAGTAACAAGTCTGAAGAGCTCTGCCATGGAAGAACATTACAATCCATCCAGTCCAGCTCCTCTCCCAACACTGTGAAGGAGGTGGGGAAGGAAGAAGAGCGGAGGGGCAGCATGGAAGGAGCTCTTTGGAGGTAATATACTCTAATGCTGAAGTAATTGTGACCACTCTGTCCCAGGGGGAGCTGGCATGAGTACTCCCTTGGCTCATTCCACTACATCAGTACAAAGGACCATGTGATCCTCATGCTGGTAGTTAATTTTTTTTCAGCAGCTAGCTTCACCTCCCTTTTGTATAAAGTAAGCTGTTCTCCTACCTTAGATTTCTGAAACCTATTTTTTTCCTATTAAAAAGCCCTTTAGTGAAGCAATGACCAGTCTTACTGATACCCCTGCAAGGTATAAACTGCAGGTAACTGTAGGTACTGCCTTGCTTTTAAGCCCTGTCAGACCTGGCTTGTGCAGTGCAAGCCCATAATGGTACAGGGTAAGGCTCCAGGCTTGCCCACGTGCCTTAAGGACAGATCTTCATATGTGGCTTTGCTAAGCAGCAAGCTTTCCTAGAAGCTATTCTGTGTTATATATATATATAGCATTGATGAAAACAGGGTGCAGAAAGGCCCAACATCCAGATTTCATGAGAATTCACATTCCTATTAACTGAGGAGAGGGTAATAAATTTAACGTAGCTCCTCAGCCTCAATTTTATAACACTTCTCTCTTGCTCCCCCTGAAATGCAGGATATTTTTCCTCCTTCTTCTCCAAGGCATGATATAGTGTTATGCTACTCTGTCAAACAATTACTGGATTCCTGCTACAGATACACTTTCATTGCTTCATTGGAAAGTAAAGCACTTCTGGGCAAAACATTCTCGATAAATATAAGATGTGGTTTGACGTGTCCAGCAGTCATTAAACTAAAACAAACATAAAACCTCCCAGAAGTGAAATAAGCAGACTCTGAAGGAAGAACCAAAATACAAAATACTGCTTGTATTTGTACATGATTAAATTTATGAATAAAAGATTAATATCTGTGTGTTTAATTGAATAAAAAAATTCTGTCACACTATGACAAGCTATTCCTTGTGAGACATTACAGAACAGACTAAGTTTTTACAGTATTTGAAAATTTTAGTTAAGCAAAAGAGCATTAAAAAGAGAAAAATGAATCCTTGGAATATACTTGAATTACAACAGCTAGTGATACATATCAATATAAATATGTATATATCAATTTGCACAGGGTAAAACTGAATGGAGGAGCAAAGTGATACACACCCAGAACTGCTGCACACCACGTGCAGCCACTCTCAGTCACAGCTACAGCTGTCACCAGGCTAGCCCTAGCTTAAATTCTACCCACAAATACTGTGTTTCTGAAGAAAGAGGAGAGAAAAACTACCCAAAGCAAGGAAACACGTGGTGCTGATGGAGGGAGTTAGGTGCTGCTCAGTAAAGGCATTCTAGATTATACCAATGATGTGTTTCCTCCATTTAGGAGATTATTGTACTTAAGAATGACAGTTGTTAACCAATTTTTTTACTACTAAATGCCCACTGAATTATTTGCCTACATGTTTGTGATGAGTTATCAAGCATAAAGAGATGCAGCTTGTTTTCACTGTACACTACCTCGGTTGGATGGTCTGTTGGCTGTGGTACCATAAGCTGGTTGTGATGCTGAAGTACAGTCTTCAAATAATCTAAAACCGTCTGGCAGGGCACTGCATGAAACAAATTGCAATTACTGTATATTAGCTATAAAACACAAAATAGAACAACAATATTAAATCAAGCAGTGTTCCTTAGTATCTGTTTTCTATGTTTGTGAGATTTATTTAAAATAGGAAATACTAATTTTGATTTATGCAGATATTTAATTTAATAAATGTACAAGTATTGTATTTCCTATACTGAGATCTCTGAAATTACTTTTATTTCCTGCCCTCCAGTTTTCAAAGGGTTTTTCCTGAGTTTGAAATTATCATTACTACAAAAACAAATTAGGTCAGCAGTAATAGTAATATTAATAATAAAAAAATAAATCTGTAAACACTGTAAAAATCCCATACCATACAAAGGAGAAAACATTCCTTGGACCTTAATAATGCACTGATTAACATGTAAATATGCTCAAATGTTTTTCAAACTACAGTCTGATTAAATATATTAAAGATATTCAGGGACTTGTATACTTTAATTTCTACTCCTTCCCTCCTCCCAAATTTGTTATAAAACTAGGTGTTAGGCAAATCACTTTATTTCTCCTTGCCCTCGTCCTCCCCTCTTTCCATTCCCATCACCCTCATCCATTTCAGTAGTGGTACCAATATCCTATTCCCTTCTGTTGAGGTGATAGGTTAATTAGGGATGATTCAATTATGGGTCTCTCTTAAGCAGATGCTGCCACATCCCTGATTAACTCTGGAGTATTTTTGAAATACAGCTCTTTTCTCCTGAGCCTGAAACACCATAGGAGAATTAAACAGATATTAATCCAACATTAAAACTGACTTGTGCAAGACTAAATAAGCATAGTTTTTAAGGTACCTTATGACTCTCACATTTTGTATGTGTTGTTTTTCTAAAGTATTTGGATTTAATCATAGCTTCAACTCAAAACCCAGAAGAAATATTTGTGTTCAGTTTTTTTATTACTATTTCTTGGCATTTTATTATTTCTTTACACTTGAAAGAAATGTGGTGTTTTGGGCTTTATCTTAAGCTGGCAATCTGAAAGCAAGCACTGAAATATCTGAGAATGTCTGAAGGTAGGATTTATGGGTATTTTGCCCTCTTTCTTTGACATTCACACCACACAGCTACTATGGCCCTGTCTAGGCAGACAGGGTGCAGAACAAAATTACTCTGTGCAAAACAGACCCTTTACAGTGGGATAAGAGGAGTTACATCCAGCAGTCTGCATATGGAAGTCAAGCAAAGTACCTGATATGATGAATAAATTCCTGTTATTGCACCCCACAGTGACTTCTCTGTAAAGACAACCCACCAGTGTATTTACCCCTGCTTCTGTTTTTTCACACAGTAAGTAATCTCACTGCAGGCTATTCAGGGACGTGTTTACCTGTGCTCTTCCAAGGGGATGGGGCTCAAGAGAGAAGACAACAGGAAATTACTTAACCTGTTGTGTCCCCAGCAGATGAAGTACAGCTCTACTTTAGCACTATGCTGCTGAAAAATGCCTTCTCATTACCAGTGAGAAACATGAAAGTATTAAAAGCTGGCCAATGCTTATTAAAAACTTGTATCCTCATAAAAGCAGTAATGTTTTGAGCACAATGTTGTATGATTATTTTATTGTTGTAGTGACTGGAGGATGCTGATCACTTCTGACTTTAAAGCCATGACACAGCACTGTTTGCTGTTGATACAAATAACCTCAGCCTTTCAAACACCAGGTGCTACTTGCAAATCCAGACTTCTTGGGCTGCCATATTAACTGAAGCCTAGAAGAAACCACAAAGAGGGCAGCACCAGGTGGAGAGTCAAAGCTTTGGTTTTGTTGCTGTGTGCCTCTTACAGCTCTGCAGATGTTCTCTTTGCTGAGAACTGTCTACCCCAAAGCCTTCAGGAAATGTAACTTTGTAAGGGCTGGGCATCCCAGCTGGGAAGATGAATAATCAATTAAGTCTACTAGTTTATTTATTTTGTCTATCTTTGATGTGGTCTCTACAGAGTTAACAAGATCATAGCCCCAAGGGCTGATATTGTGCATGCTTATGCAGGTATCCACTATCAGGACATCACCAACAGGAATTTGTTCTTACTGTGGTAGTGGGAGAGATACCAACGTTGAGATAACACTTGTTATGATTTAGTAGAAAGCCTGTGGGGAAGCAGTAATTTTCCTGCCCATTAGGGAAGAACTTTCCACAGCCTTTATTTTCTGAAAGTGTCAGCATCTCAGAATGGACACTGGGGATGGCAAAGTAGCCTGGCCTGCAGAGAATGAAAGGGCAAGGTCTTTGCAGGAGATAAAGGGCAAGGAGGAGGAGGGCCTACAGGGAACCTGGTGTGCCAGGGAAGACTGGTCTGGCTAAGACCTTAACCAGGGCACACGTAGGAGGTTGTAAATGTTTGCTGTTATCGATCCAAGTTTAAGACTTTGTTGCTATTCTAGGTATCTGTATGTTGTAACAAGTGCTTATTCAGCACAGCTTGTCACAGCTTTCTCTGCAGAGAATCCTAATTTCTAATAAATAGTTGAACAGTGACTGTGGTGGTCACACACTGTGCAAATAACAAAATCTAGGCTATGATCTCTCAGCCTGAGCTGCCACACAGCACAGTGACTCCCTGGACTAAATCCAGACAGCATCAGTGGGTAAAACACAGTAGAACTCAAGTAGTCATCTCCCAGTGATGCAGTTTCTACCCACAGGAACATAAACTTGATTTCAAGTCTGTATTTTGTTTTCCTTCAAATGGATTGACAGAATTTTTGGAAAAGAAATGGAAAATGCCAGTTACTGTATCATGGCAGTTTTCCCAAATTTCCTGAACACAAATATATTTGTATTTTTAAATAATGTTTTGTAATATAATGTAACACCCTAAATATTGGCAATACTCATCAACCAAACTTCTCATCTCACCAAAACCATAATTTGGCAAGACGTTACCCGGCACTAATGCCATTATTCTGGTTTAGCACTCTATTAATTGAAGCTAGCATCAGCTGTGCAATTAGTTTGTCTCGGCTCAATATCAGGCCAATGAAACCACCTTGAATGAAACACATCTCATGTCCTTTAAAAAAAAAATCAGATCCTATTTCCATCTTTCAGTCTTCTTAAGCATCCAAAATATTAGAAAGCATAAAGAAAAATTACGGTCAGAAAAATTATGGTATTGTCTTTTTCATGATTGGTTTAGCTCCTGAAGTGAGTTGTCCAAACCTCATGGTTTTGAAAACATGATGCCTTGGTAGCAGCTGCTTAGTGCCTCTGGTAGTAAGTTGATGTGTGCTTAGGGATGAAAAGCTGGGGTGCCCAAGCAGTTAATGCTCTTCAGCTGTCCCAGCACTGGGAGGCAGTTGAGACAGGCAGCTGAGGCTGCAGCCCCCCATGAAGCTGATGATGAACATGTGATAACACCCAGAGTTACAATGGAAATAGAAAACATTTCTACTGGCTTACCATCATCATTATATTGGTGTGACTCCATCATGCTACCTTTCACAAGTACCAGAACAGAAATGCTCAGTGAGCAGTTCCCTATTACTGATAAAATATATTTCCATCTGATAATGGTCCAATCCTGTTACTAGGATGTCATATTTTTCCTTTATTTTGCCAGAGAAAGGAAGCCTTCTCTAGACAAATGCTCCAGATTTAATTTTAATTATTAATTTGCCACTGATCCAAACTTCTGCTTTTTACACATCACCATGAACTTCCCCTCTGATTTGTTTGTTATGTTTCTAACTGTTCTTTTACTTTCCCTCTGAATGGTAGGTTTTGTAACCAACATTAAACTTTTCATCCTAGATAGTCTTTTGGGGCCTTCAGTAACATGCTTTTAATGTTTCCCTACTATCACCCACTCTAGTTTTTTCTTCTTTTTAAACCTTTGCCTCTAATAATAATTTCCAAAGTTTTATGAAGAGCCAAGAACATATCTATTATTGGTTTGAGCTGGGTTTTTGCTCATTATAAATGTTACTGGGACACAATCACTTACACTGGTATCTGTCAAAATGAGAACTCTCATTTATCCTCCCAAAAATGCAGCCTCCAGAGTAAAATATTCCAGGGCTGTTTATATTGCCAAGGCACAGCTCTGTGAAGAGATTCTTGGGCTTGCTGTAAATAAGACACATCTCCAAGGTAAATAAAGCGTATCTCCAACCTCTCTTGCAGCATCAGACAGTCCCAGTGAGAAGGGATGGCTCACCCCCAGTGTGACTGCATGTCTCTCTGCAGTGGCCTCATCCCCATAAATAGACAGTAAGAAATCTGGTTATTCTGTTCATTAATAAGATTTTGTGCTCTGTAGCTGCCACTGGCTAGTATTCATTCCTCCTGGTGCTCTGCAGAAGATGAATCCCTTAGCACTAAAGACCATTTACCTCTGACTCACCAGTGAGGAGGAGAACTGGGAAGGGTGTAGATCTCCATCCACCCCACTCAGGCCAGCAGCTGTCAGCTAAGACAGGCTCAGCACTGCACTGTGTCCTCCTTCACTTGACCTTGAGCGATTCTTCTCTCAGAGTTCATTGCAGGCCATTTCTAAATTGATGCTCGACTGTCAAAAAGATCTAACAAATGATAGGGAACATGCTGACGAGCCACAGGGCTGTGTGAATTTCTTATAACATTAATGGAGATGCCTTTGCTGCCTGAGATTTGGACAAGTGTGCACAGCTTGTATTATTTTAGCTCATATGGTGTTTTATTTCTATAGTCAGCTGAAAGCCAGCAAAAGCTGCATGGATGGTCCACGAAGGCAAGTTGTTTGGGGTGTGATGAGCTGGAAAAACAGCAAGGGGCAAGGAGAGATGTGGGTTACAATCTGTGGAGGAACTGATCTCAGTGCTCAAGAGCCTACAAATAGGGATATTTGTGACTGGATGGTGAAATAAAACCAGTACCCATTTGTAGTGAAAGGATACAGCAGAAATCAGAAGAATTGACATTATATGTAGGAGGCTGTTAAAGATTTCCTAACGTGACCCACATGCCAGCTGAAAACAGGGACTAGA